AGAACAGGCAGCTCCACTGAAATATACTGCTGAGGGGAGCAGCAGGTAAGTCAGAAGAGGTCTGCCACACATGGGTCACCTCATTGGTAGGGTATTGAATTTGTGCTGCAGTGGCTGAGGATGGCTTCATAATGCTGTGCTTTCAGCCATTGTACCACTAGGGAGGGACCTTGACGTTTTGGTTTTTTAGAGTTCAAGTTCTGGGGAACTTTGTCTCCAAGAGTCCTTTGTGTCCTGAGTTCAGAGCACATTTTTCCAGAGAGACTATACACTGATTCTTGGAAATGTGGATATGGTACATACATGAACTTATTTTCATTTAAATTTTGCATAGATTTTTCTGTTCTTAATGACTGGGTAGCCAACTTCCAAGAAGACCAGCCTGATCAAGACTTCTTAGTGGAGAGTCTTTTGCCTTTCTACCAACAACCCAATAATGAGAAAAGCATGTTTTCTTGCACATACTTTTTCTTTATAAATGTTTTTCTTTTTCTTACTTTCTACTTCTCAGAGAGCATTATCCATGTGATTCCTGGCTCTCTGCAATATTCTCTCATTCAACATACCACATGTCCAGGTGTAAAAACTTGATTTCCTGATCCTGGGGGTTCTGCTGCTAAAATCAAACTTCTAGACCCACTAGGAATGCTGGATGACCACAAGACAACACCTTGAATGTTTGATCTCCTTCTTAGACTACTGTCCAAGCTTGGTTCCCAGTCTCAATCTCAATACTGTCTTATGAATTTGTAATGCTGCTTTTAATGTTTTATTCAATATTTTATATTTTTAATATTTATTCATGCATATACAAACTGGGGTACAGGCCAGTAGTTCAAGGGTGGTGAGAGGATTCACCAGAGACAGAGTAGGGAGCAGAACAGGCACATTCAAGAACACTGCTGAGGGGAGCAGCAGGCAAGACAAGAGAGATCTGCTGCACCATGTGTCACCTCCCTGGCTGAGGATCAAACTCACACTGAAGTGGCTACAGTCAGCTTTGTAGTGCTTCAACCCATTTAGCCACCAGCGAGGACAAATTCATTCATTTTAAAGACATTTTATAATAAGAGGATTTCAGTATATCTCATATATAGCTAGAAATGAAAACAGTCAACATTTACATTTTAGTCTCCAAAGGCTTTATAGTTATCACTCTTTATGCAGGTGCTTGGCAATGATCTAGCTGGATGGATAACAATAGCTAATAGGAAATTTATTGACACCTCTACCTATAGTGCTGAATATGCTGAGTTTATAAGAAGTTTTTTAAAAAAAAAAAAAAGAGGAAGAATCTAACGAGTAGTCTATATCCCTTGTGATGACTTTAATTCTAGAATATTCCAAAGCTTTCTAAAAATCTATGAGGTATAGCCAAAGAAGGAAGTGTGAAGAAGAAGAGTGATTGAGATTTTGTGTTCGTACCTCACCAGATCTGAAAGCCGCCTTTCATGAATAAAATAAAGCTTGAATGGATCAAAATGTTTCTTGGATGTTAGCCAGATTTCTTATGAAAGGGCTGTTATTTAGCTCTTTTTACTATGGAGAGTACTTGCTAAGCATAATGAAATCAGTTCCTAAGGCTAAATTGCAAACCATAATATGTAAATGGTAAAGCTTCTCATTGATTATTAAGCATATAACTTGCAAAATATTTCACATGGTAGCTTTAGATATAGTAGTTGCTTATTAAATGGTAGCTGTGGTCATTTCCATATATGAAAGTTCTTATGTGAACAACTTTTAAAGTCTTTGTAAATGTTAAGTACTGGAATGGTTCTAACACAATCAGGAAAACTCAGTCTGGGTTCTTCTGCTAATGGGGTCCCTCTCTGAGGTCTGTAGTACCGTGGTTTCTCCTCAGTTATGGCTGAGCAGGTCTATTACAGTTTCTCACACAAAAAAAAAAAAATTCATGTGGTTGGCAGCAATTTTTTTTCAGTGTGATATGCTGGAAGATCCCTATTAAGCATTAAAGGATGACTAAGATAACAAGAACAGTCTCCTCAAGGAGCCTTTGCCTTAACATGATTCTCAACCCTCCCTGCTCTTTAGGATCACCTCGAAATATTTCAAAAAAGCTACCAAAATCCATGTGTATTTTCTTTCTTTATGCAGACAGTGGCAAACTTGGAGCTGGAGACTTATCTTCTTTCTTTACTCCTTAAAGCCAGTCCATACAGGTGGTAGGAACTGATACAACACTAGTTAAATTATTAAACAACAATACCAGAAAATCCAGTTTTAAAGGTATTGTGTTATGTAACTTCGATCAATTGACTCTACAAGAAGTCAGAAATAGGCCCTATCCCTCAGAATGAATCTGACAGTTCTACCAACATTAAAAGAAAATTACAACTGCAATGTGATGTTGCATTTTGAAGTACCTCCTCTGATTTTAAGTTAGAAAATTTATCTTACCAACTTAAGGTAACCCTCAGCATCCAGAATTAAGTTCTCTGGCTTCAGGTCTCTGTAGATAATGCCTAGTCGATGCAGATAATCAAATGCTTCTGTCACACAAGCAACGCAGAACTTGGAAGTAGATTCATCAAAGCTGCCTCTGCAATAAAATCATTTTCCCTCTTATTATCCTAGACAGAGATCTTCACGGTCCTAGGTTGGTAAATCTATGACAGAAATTTTGTAAGATGCTAACACTAAAAATTTGATAATGACAGTGCATTAGACTATTGATCATAAAGAAATTCAGGGGCATATCTGATGTGAACACAACTACTTTACTTAAGTGTCTACAATCCAGCAGTTGTTTCTGATAATCATAGCTGAACACAAAAATAGACAAGAAAACAAAGACTTTTTTTAATGACAATTATGACAAACTCTGGAGAGAATGCAGCTATTTCAACAGCAAGCATGAAACAGATTTCTGTAATTGATTGCTTGACTAAAAAATGACTCAAGTGATATTTTCATTTCCTGGGAATATGCAGTATTAACATTAGCCCACGTAGAAAAGGGATCACAGCTCTTTCCTGTGTGGTGCACTGTAATGATATTAAAGTTGCCCTGTGTCAGCTCTGAGATAAATTTACATATTGAATTATTAAAAGATGGTGTGATTTGCTGCTTGGTATAAAGAAGGGTGTGGCTGTGGGGTGAGAGACTGGCTGGGACTGCTTTTTCTTCCATGTACTGTGTCCTGAGCAAGTGCCCTATCTGTTTTCAGCCTTGGATTCCTACCTGTAAAACTACTTGTTCAGTGAGGTTGCTTTGAGGATCAATGCAGTGCCTAATATGTAGCCGGAATTCTCTTTTCTAAATATATTTAGATCTTCTATGAAGTTCTTTGTAATGAAGCAAAGATGCTGAAGATGCAAATGCTTTTGCAGGTATCACACAGTCTCCTTACCTTTCCAGGTTATCCCCATTCAGAGCCATCCAATGATATGTAGCAAACAACACATTTATCTTCTATGTGATATGCTCAAAAGACTCTTATTCTGATTCTGCTTTTTTCTAAATTTTATTTATTTTTGCATAGAAATACTGAGGTGCCAGCAAAAGGTACGGGGTAGCTAGAGGATTCACCAGAAAGAGTGGGGAGCAGAACAGTCAAATTGATGAAATACACTGCTGAGCAAAGCAGGGTGAGACAGGAGAGGTCTGCTGTGCCATGTGGGTCATCTCCCAGGGCAGGGATTTAGAACTCAGGGGATATTGGTGATAGTGGGGTCACCAGGGAGGCCCTGGCCCCTGATTCTTGACCATGGATGCATATTAGAAACATCTGAGAGGTCTTGCTTTTTAAAAACTCATTAACTGGGTTAAAAAAAAAAATCCCTGAGTCACAATCTCTGGCAATGAGGGGGCAACAATTTCACCTTGTAACAGCTGCCTACGTGAGTGCAATGTGTAGTCAGGGTTGAAAATCATTGACCCAATCGATACAGTCTAGATGTTGAGCATGATATTAACTTTTACAACCTTCTCTTCTGTCACTCTTTACTTCAATTCAAATATGCTTTTCACCATCCACAAAAAGACCTACTCCATGCCAGTTTTCCAATTTTATCTTCTACCAGTTTCCTTTCCTCTCTGCTTTTACAAATATATTTTTTAAAGATTTATTTATTTATGCAGACAAGAACTGGGGTGGTAGCCAGAGGTGTGGGGGGTAGGGGTGAGGTGAGAGACCTCACCAGAAATAGGGGGAGAAGAACAAGCAGATCCACCAAAATGGTGAGAATAGTGGGTCAGACAGAAGTCTCCTGCACCATATGGATCAACTGCCTGGCCAGGGATTGAACTCATTCTACAGTGGCTATGGGTAGCCTCACAGTGCTGTGCTTTAACCCACTGAACCACCAGGGAGGACCCTGCCTTTAAAAATTTTGATAATTGTTAGAATTTAGTTGAAGTCCTTCAACTACTACAATTTTTTACCCCTTGTCCACTCTGAGCTTCTTTACAATCTTCATTTTGCATTTAATTACAAATTACCAACTTCTTAGTCATATTTTGTTTCCTCATTAAATAATGAAAAGTTTTAATTGCTTATATTATCTTCCTATATTTATTTTAAATCATTGGAGAAGAAATAGTTTTAACGATTTTCGCTAGAAGAGTGCTCATTGTCTAGAATTGTCCACTCTGTCTCCTAAGGAGCACTGTTGTAGGTGCTGCTCAGGAAATACTCATGACCTCGGTTTTGGAGAACCCCCACTTCTGCAGGTTGAATCATCACAGGCTCTTACTCTGCTTTTCAGTGAGGGTTTCATCAGTCCCTACCCCTTTCTTTATTTCCCATCTAGAGATTCAGATTCAGAAACATCTGGGTTTATACTAACCATGTTACTAAAGATGGTCCATACTCTTTTTAACCTGAGATTCTTTGATCCCTGAAATGGGAATGATAGTGAATGCCTTACAGGGGTGCCTAACACACAATTACATTAGCCAAGAAAATAGTGCTATTGCCAGTTTATTTTATCCAGTGGTAATATTTGCTTAGAACCACCTAACAACTTCCTTCCTGTTTCTTTAAATGAACATCACAGATCTTTAGGTCAGATGTGAGGAGACAGAAGTTACTATTAATAGTCCTTTCCATTACCTGTCTCTTAATATACTCCACAGCTCTCCACCTAAACAGGCCTCCAGAAGCATGTATACATATTTATTGTCCTTGAAAGTCCGATATAATCTGTGAACACAAATAAAGAGCAGTTATTCTTAGAACTTATGGCTTTATTATTTGTGGTTGTTTTTGTACCCAAAAGAACAAGTCTATTAGATTAAAAAAGGAAGGAAGATGCTTGTGCAGACACAAGTGGGCAGGAAGAGAATTTATGGTTTTAAAAACTACAGTAGCTTAAGAGCATCATCAATAACATTTTAAACAAAGCTCTTCATCTTCCAAACGTCCTTCAGCCACAATGGACTTTTCGCTGATTATGCTGATCTTTCCTCCTTCCTTACTCATGTTAGCCCTTTCTTTATTTAAAGTCTTAATCCTTTTACAAAAACCTGAACCTCTTTACCTCAGTTTTACTGTAAAATGTGGGATACATTCTTTGAGAGCAAGTTCAAAGCTACTTAAATATCCTGCCTGTAAATACGGCTTCTACTTACAAAGACCCAAAACTTCTGCACAGATCTCTTTTAAGATCTGCCTGGCACAACAGTTATTCATGCTCATATCTTATGTCTGCTACTTATTAATTAATATTGGTTTCTCCAGGAAACAGACCTCAAGGCAGATTTGTAAGCAGTGAGCTTAGTGAGTGAGGAGTGTGAGCTTAGTGAGTGAGGAGTGAATGAAACCCACAGGAGAGGAAGAAAACAGATTTGCACTGAGGAAAAGCTGGGTTATAATCTAGTTTCAACCACACAGCCTCAGCTTCAAGGAGCTCTGCTATTACCGAATGCAGGATGTACTTAGAGAGACTTTATAGAGACAAGGTGGTTCTCTTCACCTATGAACACTGGCCAGAGAGCAACTAAGCAAGTCTCCAGCTGGCAGCATTCCCAGAAGAGAAGTGACAGTGTCAGTTCTGACAGGAGCCCAAGCAGAGCACCGCATTTCAGCAATCAGTAAAAGCAGTTTTGGGATCTGAAGTGGTTTCCTATCTTGTGTGGACAGAAAACACAATCTAATAAAGTGGTTAAATGTAGAGTTGGTACCAAGAGGCTGAGGCCTGTTCATGTCCCTGATGAGTCATTTATTAGCTATGTCCCCTCTCTTTTCTTATTGATATCGTTCAACAGGGACAACCATAATACTTACTTCACTGCTCTATTATGAGGATCAAAAGAATATATGTATTTGATTATATGTTGATTAAGTATCATTGATGATATACTCACTTTATATATATTATATATATGCTATATATGTATAATAAAATACATAAATTTGGGGTATATATATATATGCTATATAAATAGATATATATTTTATTTAAAAATAAATGAATTTATGTGCTTGTAAGAGTACATCACATTTAATTTCTAATAAATATTGTCATTAATACTTATCCTTAATATTAATACTGCCCTGTTATATCCCAGGTAACTTGCAAAGAACTAGAAGAAAGAAAATGAGTGAAATCTAACTCATACCCTGAAGTTGTTCACCATAGTCTGTTACTGAGTTATTTATTAAAAGGGGGAAAACATTCTGATAACATAGTTAATATACAGCTAACAGGATGTCTTTTCATTGTCAGCATTGGCTAGGTTCAAACCTTTTTCTTAATCTTGAAAAACAGACCTAGGTCTTCGAATATGGATTGACAGGAAAAGTCTCTCAAGAATATACATACATAGGTATGCACACATGCATATATGTGTGCATACATGTGTGCATACACATACACACATGTGTACATGTGTGTATATATTTTCTTATAACATAGTTAATATAGAGCTAGCAGGATGTCTTTCCATCGTCAGCATTGGATAGGTTCAAGCCTCTTTCTTAATCTTGAAAAATAGACCTAGGTCTTGGAATATGGATAGACAGGAAAAGTCTCTCAAGAATACACACACACACACATACACATGTATTGTGTGTATATGTACACACACATATATGCATAGGTAAATGTGTGTACAGGTTTGTATATACATATGTGCATATATGTATGTGTATAGGTATATATGTATAGCTACACATGTGTGTGTGTATTTTTTAACTTCATTCTTCATTTTGTACATATTTTCATATCAGTTGTAATCCCCATGGGTTTCCCACCGCCAGTTCACCCATGTGCCATCACCATAGTCCTATGTGCTTTTCCTGCCCCAGTTTTGATCGTTTTCCTCTCTCAGCCTAGGTAGAATGTCTCTGGTTTATAGTTGCTTGCTGATTTTCATTTATACTATATTACAATTACTTATGAATCTGATCAAAAAGTAGTTCTCTTTACTATAAGGGCAGTTTTCATCACCGAGAAATCATGAAAGTTTTACTCTGAGATGTGAAGACAAAAGAAAATACAAACTGCCCCACACCATTAGCCCATAAATTCATAGGAAAAGAGGGCAGGTGCCTAACATAACCAATAATTCTCCAAACTCTGGTGATAGCTACAATCAGAAGGGTAGCTACTATGAGATGGTCTTTAACATCTGGGCACTGCCAGGGCCACATCTGGCAACCCTCATAGGCCCAAATGTCACTTCTTACATCAATTCAACAAAACACACCCCAAGGTGTTATGAGTGAATAATTGTTTCCCAATTCTACAGCAGATATAGAATATACAATCTGTTCAAATTATTCCACAATTATTTTATATTTACACACACACACTGGCCTGAGGTTTACTCAAGAATAAAATAACCTGGACTCTTGAGCCCATATCTCAAATTTGTATTATTTTCTTGTATCATTATTATGGCTAAGATGGAGAATCAGAGTGGGTAAGCTGCTTCCTTTCTCTTCTTTTACATGGAAACACTCACAAGAACAGCCTCAAGTCCCAAGTCTTAGCAGCCAAATGCTCACTTACTTTACGATGAAGGGAGAACACAGTTCTTCTAGGATCCTCTTTTCTGAGTAGACGTGTTCCTGCTGTTTTGTGTCCACAATGTGCTTCTTCCTGATACACTTCATAGCAAAGGCAACATTCTCATTTTTCACTTTAACCTAAGAAGATAAAAAGCCCGCAAAACTCACTAGGTATGATTTGCGATATTTCTACAAAACATAAACTAGTGAGAGTTAAATATTCCTTCACTGCCAAAAAGCACATAACTTTTAGCCACCTGTCCTGCTGAGATCTGTTTCATGAAATTATACATACTTCCTTTCATTGCAATTTCAAAACAGATCATAATCTGGGACATCATTTTATATGAAACAAGAAAAAAAAAAACTCTGGTTAGAAGACTTGATATTTAGAAATCAGTTTGAGTGTGTGACATGAAAATTTTTGATCAAAATACACAAAAGTTGTTCTTTGATATTCTTTGATTTTCAAAACAAAATATAGTAAAGCAAGACCTAAATCTGAATTATACAATATGGCAGCCACAAGTCATTTGTGGTTGCTTGAATTCATTAAAATTAAAAATTCAGTTTCTCAGTTGCTTTAGCCACAATTCAAAAGCTTCATAAAGAATATAGGCAGTGG